TGTGCTTGTGTTCTTGTATTAGCTGAAAATCATGTGCCCGTCTGTGATTAAGGGCGGCCACCCCGACGTAATCAAAATAAACCGTGGCCAAAGTTGTGCTAGACGTCTTGCAAACAGGTGCAGTCATCATTCCCGCATACGAGAACCTGCGTGAGGGGCGTGGATTGGAGCACAGCTAGTGTGGACTCTGCCATCAATGATGTCATCGTGAGACTACAAAAATTGGTGGAAAAAGCTACAATGGCTGCGTTCCAATTCACAACCATTCACACACCTTCTAGTAGGCAGTGATACAAAACTACGATCTTTGATAGTTGACGGGAGGTGTCAGGGAAAGAAGACATAGTCTCCATTACCTTGATTAAGGGGAAGAATACGGAAGCACTGACAAGCGGCCCCTCCCCTAACCATCCAACTACCTTAGCGGCCTCATCTAATCCGTTGGTGCGTATTCTCTTATTCTCCAGTGCCGCAAAACAAGAGGCGCTGAGTAAATCGCAAGCGTGCCTGCTCTTAAAAAAACTCGGCTAACATCTGGAAAATACCTTTCGAATAGAAGGACTGTGAATAGGGAGCAGGGTGCTTTCTCTCCAACGTTTATCCTTATTTTGGACGAGTTACACGAAGACTCGTCTTTAAGTTGTCAGTGTCGATTTAACGATGAGCCAGCTTTTCAGTGGACTATTTGAAACAGTGATTTCAGCAGGATATTCGCATCCGCTCTTAACTGCTCGATCAAATTTGACTGCTTGACTACACCTTTGCATCGCAGTGGCGACCTCACCAATCGGGAAAGGAAGCCGCGACGGGGGCGGGGCATGGACGAGTTCTTCGGTGCAGCCGGCGGAACGTAGCAGGTTTACCGATGTGCCGAATTTGGAGCCGTCTGTTTGCTTTGCTCCGTCGAAACCCCTCGATTTATTCCAAAATGCTAGTCATTGGCCCTTATGTGTCAACACCAGGCACATTCGAGTGAACTCTATTGTTGAGCGCTTTCCGTCCCACCTTTTCACTCGTGTTTGCGTTATGTTTGCTTCTTGTCTGGAAATTGCTAGGTTCTCTGTTTTTTTTCTATTTTTATTACGGAGCCCGGAGAATCCAGTTTTGCGAACTCAGGCACTTATAAGTTTGAATGCACTTATTGCCGGTAACATCAAATAGTTTTTATTTCTAGGTGCATTTGAGCGCTTGTCATTAAATAGTTTTACAATAAATTTCACCTATAGTTTGAACGCTGGCGAATTGAAAAATAATCAGGAATGGCAAATTAATTTCCATGGAGAAGGTCAAAGGCGAAGTACTCGTAAAACCCTCAACACGTCATCACTATTCGTTCGGCATTTCATTTCAGTTTTCTCTTGATGTTCGCTATTTCTTAATCGAATGTTTCCTGATCACAAGTATTGAAATTTCTTATTTCTGTGACGTCTTTTGTTCTAATTCGGGGGCTATCGCAGTTCGGGGCAGCAATAATCATACGGATGTTATCGTTGGACAAAAACAATTCTTCACGTGTTAAGACATGTTGGCTAATAACTTATCGTAAAGACACGTCAAGGACGAGTTACCCCCATGACTGTTGCTGCCACAAACTGCGATTGCACCTTCTTCTGTTTAATATTGCCTACATGTTCATAGATTGTTGTCGTGGAAAGCGTAATAGATTGCTGTCGGATCCGGCTGGCGGCTTGACAGGGAGGTTCACAATGGTTGCTGAAGCGCAACCCGATCAGAATGTGAACTCGGGACGTCCGCGATTGCCATCCGAACTCACCGGACCTGGCTGGAAAGCTCGTGGCGATCGAACCCCAGTCGACAAACGGGTACCTTTCAATCGACCGACTGCTAAACAGGTAAAATACTCTACTCTCACACTTATGTTTTTCTTTTTCCTAACTTTCTTCTTATCCTTTTGGCTTTTGCTTGGATCGATTTCTATCAGCACATTGCTTGCTAATATTGAGGCAATAGAGGTGAATTCTTCTTCGCTGCGGATATTGGACGTGTCAGGGAGGCTTGGTTTGGCGCAGCGCCGGCCCCTTTTCAACCGATTGTTGTCGCCTGCTTGCTTCAGCAATTGGCAATTGAGAGATCGACTTATCGCCGCGCCATGCTCAACCTCCCCCTGACTCGCGCCACCATCCGAAGCGAACACGGCGGCATGCCTCAACACCCACGCAATAGCTTTAAAAACTCCCCCGTATTAAATTAGTTTATGAACGGCACTTACTCCCTGGCTAACAGAGTAACTCTCCACTGCATTTGCTAATTAAAGAGCCCCAAAGTAGAGGTTTGAAAGCGAGTCCGGCAATATTCTTCCAATAACCCGCAAGTGACCATCTACGTGATACACGGCGAAAATTGGTGCCCGCAGGCCCTCCCATTTTAGTTTGTGTAGTGCTCATGAGCGAATCGAGATTTGCTAATGGAAAGATTTGAGAGAACCGGGCATTAATAGAATTTATTTTTTTAAAGAAACGCAACCAATGCGTTTTTATAAATCAAGGTTCCATTGCTCAGAAC